AAAATACTTCTGAATATCCAAATAGTGTTTTTCAGTGAGGATTTTTCATTGCTAACATTATTTTCTGCAGGTATATTGGTCATTCAGTAATAATTCTTTCAGATTACCAGGGAAATACTTAGTTTATTAAATCAATACAATTACTATGCATTGAGGAGACCAAACATCATATGCAGGATATTTACATATTTAACTAATAACTGTAATTATGTATTCATAGATTAAAATATACACAAATGTGTATACACAATGAAGTGAAATGATCAATTTGAAGTCAGAACCTCAATTTCTCAATCCTGCCTCTACTGTTAACATACAGTATAACTCAGAGAAAGTTACTGAACCTCTTCAGCTTAGTTTGTTTTACATAAAAATAGCTTTAAAAAATTCTAAACAATTATCACTATGTTTGAGAAATGGTTGTAGAGATATAACCTCAACTCTCATTAAACTCTCAAGACAATTTAATTAGAGAGATATTGTTATTCATCTTTCACAGGTGAGGAAACCAAGACACAGGGAAGTTGAATTTTTGTTAAATGTTACAAAGATAGAAAGAGTCAGAGCTTGGACGCTGGGGTTGAATAGACCTCAAATCCTTTACTCTTCTCATTGCTTTAAACTGTTGACTTTCATGATGACTAAGGACGATGTGTGTAATGCAACTAAGGTAGGACATTACCAATAGTATGACTTTTATAAACTTTAGTTAGTATTACTAATTAATAAACAACAGATACCTAACAACACCACTTCACTGGATAAGTTTACATATATACATATAATTGTGTTTCTTCTTCATTTTTTAAGATCAAATTGTTGGTTATGTACTTCTTACAAACAGATGCACCATATTTATGCCATGGAAGAGATCTGCGCACCAATGTTGACTTCAGATCTCTCTCTCTCTCTCAACCACTTCAGAATGTACAGGATGCTAGATCAGAGTACAGGCTTGAGGACTACCAGGGGCTCTTAAAGAGATCAGTCGCTGTACAAAGATCAAAAGTGCCACCCACACAGCCTACCTACTTGCTGCTAAGAATGGCAAGTTATCTCAGCGAGTGCACATCAACATGAGGAATTTGATTGTGTTTGTCACTACTGTGAGATTTTGCATTTTGCCCCTTACTAAAGCTAAAAAATTCTTTTGGTCCAAGCACAGAAAGATAAATATATGATCTCACACACATGTAGAATCTGAAAAGTAGAACTCATGAAAGCAAAGTAGAAGGTGGTTGCCAGGAGCTAAAGGTGGAAGACAATCTTTCACTTATAAAATGAACTAGTTCTGGGGACCTCTTGTACAAGATGAAAGGTGATGTGTGCATTAGTTAATTTGGTTGTGATAGCTATTACATATTCTATCTATACACACACACACATTATCCAGGTCATCACATTGTATACCCTAAATATATATAATCTTTATTTTCCAATTGGATATTTTAAAATAAAACACCTAAAATTTTAAAAATCTTTTTAAACTTAAAAATACTGAGGTGCCATTTCCATTTCCATTCAGTCTTTCTGTCAGTAAGCTTTCTCAGGCATTTCACATATCTAGGTTTTATTTGGGGCTTTTTGGATCAAAGCACTGGCATCTTCCCTAAGCAATTCTATTTTCAGGTCTATCTTTATGTCTAGGATCCTAGCCTATGATTTTAAAACAACAACCAAACAAAAAAATCTCTCAAAGACACCATTATTATAGCTAATCACTAATCATGTATTTTCTCTCCATGTATCCAGCAGTTTTTCTCTTTTATGTCAGATAGAGTCCAAGTGCTAAATCTGTCCTCTGGCAGCATAGCTATCCTACTGCTTATTGCCTCTTATTCCCTTCATTATTCCATCAGCAATTATGCTGTCCACAAGGGATTCTATCACACAAGGGTCTGTTAGTAGAGATCAAATACAAGCAACAGCTGTTTATAAATACAAAATGCAATGAACACATGGCACAGAAAGATGGTTGCTTTTTTATGTTTTTGTTACCAGTAGATCGCCCAATCTCTCAAAATTTTCAATTCTGAATGTATGTCAAAGAGCTGTATAGCTTTTTATCCACTCAACATCCACAGCAGTAGAAATAACTGAAATGTCACCAGGAGTCTCAGATAGCCAAGGTCTCAGAGCACAAAAAGCAGCTCAGGTGTTCAGTATTAGCTTCTTACTGATGTATCAGGTACTGCCCTGGGGATACTACAAACATCTTGTTCATTATATGTTACAACTCCCTGTTGAATATGGAATTACTAAGTTCCATAGCTGTGATTTAAGCCTAGACCCTCCCTGACTCTAACTTTCCACAAATTTATACTGATAATGAGGGAGAAGAATACAGTGGTGGACAGATAAAAGGGAGAAGGATACAACAGTCAAACATCCTCTAGTATAAATTCATAGCCAGGTAAAATGGCACATGCCTATAATCCCAGCACTTGGGAAGCTGAGGCAGGAGGATCACTGCAAGTTCAAAGCTAGTTTGGGCTACTAAGTGAGCTCAAGGCCAGTCTAAACTGCATAGCGAGACCCTGTCTCAAAAAGACAAATGAACAAACAAATAAACAAAAACAAGTAAAAATTCATTAAACAAACATCTATTGAGTAGTGGAAAAGCATAGTATCTACTCTAAGACAAGTTTCTTGTCCTAGAAAGGCATTTTTTGGATTACGGAAATAAGAATATCCATAGAAACAACTGTGTGTTTCACTACCAGGTCAATCTTCAACATGTGTGGAAAGTCTAAGACCTCAGAGAGAGAGGATGGGGCCCTGTTAAGGAGACAAGCAAAGAATCCCCTGATGAGGGCTCTTTTGATCAAGAATGTAAGATATATATGCATTTCTTAAGTTGACTAAAAGAAAGTTACAACAAGCAGAAGGCAAGGTAGAACCAATGAAATGTGGCAGATGGAGAGATATTATTATGGTTTATATCTAAAATGTCCCCCAAAGTCTCATGTGCTCAAAGATGGGGCTCTGGGGGAGCTGACTGGAACATGAGAGCACTATACACATTGGCAGATTAATCCATTGATGAATTCATGAGCTGTTAGGAGATAGGACCTGATTGGTGGCAAGGGTCATTAAGTCACATGGAAGCATGTATTCCTGTCTCTGGCTCCTCCTCCTCTTGCTGCTTCCTGGCCAGTACAGGTAGAGCAGCTTTCCCCTGCCATGCCCCTCCGCCATGCTCTTTCTGTCTGGAGCCAGCCAACCATAGATGGAATCCTCTGAGACTATGAGCCCAGATAAACTTTTCCTCCATTAAATTTCAAGTATTGACTTTTTTGTCTCAACAAGGGGAAAGTGACTAATAATTATGCTCAGGAAATTCAGTGCTTCAGTGGGCCGTAGAACAGTATAAATGTTGATGATATAAGAGCAAAAGGGAATGTAGCTTTCACATTGTGGTAGGATCAGGCATTAGGAAAGGCAGCAAGAAGGGAAGAGGCATCACAGGAGAGGAGGCAGATGGGGAAATATGGGAAATGGAGCTGCCAGCGAGACTACTCTGTGTAGCTTAATGTATTAGGTTATCATAAGCCATCAAGTCATTTTAACGATTTTATTTTATCATGACTATGTACTATGATAATTTTGGTTCTTTTATGACTACGGAGTATGACAATTATGATAAAAAGAAGAGTAAGAGATACAAACATAATGATCGTCTCTAGTTAGAGTTGTAGGGTCCACGGGAATAAAGCTATTGCCAGAGAGAACCAGGAGCACGTATGGAAATAAGTCATTTCTGAATTATAGATAGTTGCTAAAATAAAAGACACAAAGGCAAAAGGGCTATTCTATTATCCTCCAGGCATCACTGGGGCTGGATATCAAGGCAAAATGCAAAAGGATCAGAAAGAGGATGAAAACATCATTACCTCTGTCTTAAAAAGTCTTAGAAAATAATCAAATGCTTCAAGTGAAGCAATTGAAAAACATCTTTGAATTGTTGATATGTCAGTCACTACAACATAATCTGAAAAAAAAGTATTCTATTGTCCAAGCACAGTTAAATGTTATCAGGACTTGGGATTCTATTTCATTCCTCCCTGAACTGATACATTTTCTCTTGGGTAGAAAGATATATAATGTCAGTCAAGCTTTTCTTGATCTGTGGCTTAAGAATAAACTGCACAACAACTTACATCTTTAAACTGTCAGCTCTCAACTCTAATTTTAATGTTTTCCCATAGATAGGAAATAAGATTTCAGAAAGGGAAAGACGATTGTGTATCCTAAATTTGTCAAGCAACTGTTTTCAATAATATATCTCCACTATAGATCATATGATAGTATTAGAGTAAGCTCAATAGCTCTGATTTGGTTTTCTATAAAATAAAATTTCTAGTGGAATAAAAGAGTGAAAGATATTGCTTAATATAGCCTAAAACTGGACTTTGTACAGCCACCACTAAATTTTCAGAGCAACTTTTTACTTTCGGTTTGTGCTTTCTTAGTATGTACTGGTCACCCCCAGTACATACTTCAGCTGCAAGTGAGAAACATAGTACATATCAGATGGTTTCCAGGCTACTATTCTAGAGACAGCACCATCCCAAAGGCCACTGTGAAATTAAAAGTGGAGATCCTAGTCTTCAGTATCAGATACACCGGGGTTCAAAGCATAGCTTCTTGAAACAAGATGTTTGCAAAACACACAGCTCAATACCTGATACACAAGAGACACTCAATGCGTTCATGGTATTGCTGTAAAATTATTACTGTAAGTATTAAAGAGAAAAGCCAGAACTTAAGTACAACAGGGTCCCTCACTTCAAGGACATAATTTATATTCCATCTTCCTGTCAAACAGAGTAAATTTCTATGCCATCTTCTTATGAATGTCAAGAGTCATAAACTTGACTGAAATGGTGACTAGTTCAGGAAACTGACAACTTATATGTCAGTTTTTAGGATCTTTGTTATTCTTTACAAGGAGGGCTGAAAATTGAGATTAATAAATAGAAACTGTAGCGTGGCCTTACCATTTTTGTCGGCTCTCCTCAGTATCTGGAAAGAAAAGAGGAAAAAAATCTTATCACATTTTTGGTAAATATTACAGTGAAAATCAAGTTTATATAAAATTCATTTATTACTGACTAAAGGAAATTTCAATTTCAAGTTAATTCTTTGAAAGTATATACCATCCTTCATACACATTCAATAAATCAATAGTGAACAATAAAAAGAGATAGCCACTAATACTCTTGGATGGAATTCAGAGTAGTTGGTCTGAGTAGAAAACCTTGTCACAAAATAGTATCTACAGTAATGGGAGTCAATATGAACAAAAAATACGCACACGGAAATCCTCAAACATGTGAAACTGGGTGGAGGGACTACAAGGGTGTAGAGGAGTGTGTGAACACAGTAAAAATATATTTTGTGCATGTACATATCTGCAAAAATGAAACCCACCAGTCTATATAATCAATTCAAAGAGAGTCAAAAATAGGGGCTGGGGATTTAGCTCAGCGGCATAAGCACCTGCCTTGCAAGCAGGCAGTCGTGAGTTCAATTCCTGGTACCAATAAAAAGGAAAAAGACAAAATAAATAAATAAATAAAAGAGAGTCAAAAATAAAGAAAAATAAAAAGCCATTCCAAGGTAAAAATGAAATTTTAACAATTACTGCAGAAGGCCATTCATACAAAATTATACAAAATGCAAAGTAAGACGCAGACAGAATTGACAGAAAGCCAATTAAGGGTTCCCTAGGAACGGGTAGAGTAGGGAGAGCTGGATGACACAAGCTTGAGAAAACTTCTGAAGGTGATAAAGGTACTTATTAACTTGACTATTGGCAGTGACCTCACCTATGTTAAAAATCATCAAATTTACAAATATATACACTTACATGTAAGTAAATTATAGGCAAATAATAGTATAAAGTATAGTCAAATTATATCTGAATAAAACTGGAAATAGATAAACATAACAAATCATGGGTAAATAGGAGTTCACATGTCTATACTACTATATCTTACTTAGATGTATTAGTTATATTATCTTGGAACATTTTTAAGTTGTTTTAATGTATAGGAAATGCTTCACCATCTAGCTTCCATTACTCTTTGGTAAGATTTCCAATTTGCTTCGGGAAAACTAATCTTTCCTTCCATACTGGTCCACATATCACAGGGTTTGGCAGAGCATTTAAGCCTGGCAAACAAGGTGCCACATCCCTCTAATCACAGTAGCTATTAGTTCACAAGCTCCTCACGGCCGGTGAATGTAACCCACGGTTCTGCTTAAATGGATGAGAGAGAGACAGACTTCCCTTTCTGCTGGCTTTTGAGGCTGAAAAGATGTAGTCAAGGAGCTGCTTCAGCCGTTTTGTTCTCACATATACTGTGGGTTTAACTGTGTCTCTGAAACATGAATGCCAAAATTCTAACACTCGGTGTTTGTGAATGTGCCCCTATCTGGAAATAGGTCATTTGCTGATGTAATCAAGTTGAGATAAGGTATTACTGGATTAGAGTGGGCCCTTTGACCAAAGACTGTTTCCTTATAAGGAGGCAAAGATTCAGAGACAAAGGTAGAAGGAAGAGCCATGTGGTAACAGAGGCAGACACTGGAGTAATGTAATGACCAAGGAACTCCGAGACAGAGAGCTGATTCATGACTGCAGTCAGAAGCTGGAGAAAGTAAGGTAGAGATTCCCCTCTGGATCCTTCATAGGGCCCACCATCCCACTAATACCTTCACTTCATCCTCTGGCCTCCAAAACTGTAAGGCCATAAGTTATACTGCTAAGTCACACTGTTGTAGCAGGTATAACAGTCCTTAGAAGTTAATCCAATATGTAACTGGAAACCCAACACACCGGAAGGCAGAGTTCAGAGATCACAGGAAATGGACAGTAATGACCCTCTCTAAGCATCTGATCAAGTTCCTGCTGAGAGGACCTCTCATTTTCATTACAGAAGTCAAAAAATGATTCTATTTCTAAGTTTTAAGGAAGTTTGGGTTAGTAACTCCAATGGTGTGAGGGGAGATGATGGCTACACAGATAGATCAACTGATCGATCGATCAATCAATAGATAGATAGGCAACGATCTGGACAATATAATACATAGATATGTTGAATATTGTAGAAAGAAAATGTCCCTCTACTGTACTACAGAGACAAACTTTAATCACTTGTAAAGGGCTCTTGAGGATCATTTCTTCTTGAGTAACCTATGGTTTAGTTAAACAATCACAGTTACTCTTATATTTAGATCAGAACTTCTTGGCCAGCTGAAAATGTGTGCACTGTTTTTTATTACCAAATTGATTGCATGTTTCACTGATTTCTCCCACAGGAACATTATTCTTTCATTCTATTAGCTTAACAAAAATGAAGTACAGATAAATCTGTCATAGCAACAATACTTTTGTTGTAAAATACTAATCATGTTACTAAAATTTTCACCTAAGAAGCTTTCTTAGGAATAGACAGGTATGGCTGTGACCCACGTGCCTGAGAAGTTAGTCCTTTTTACTACACTGATTTAATTATTGCAAGAAGACTACTTTCAACACTAAGAACAGTTACAATAGAATGATACCCACATTCTTTCTACCCCATAGAGGTAATTCCTAGTGGAGATCCGTCCCTTCTTCACAGACAGCTTTTTTTCCTCTCTCCTAAGACCAGAAAGCCCTACCTAGTGAGGGAAGCATGCATCTCATCCTATGTCTTACCTGTGTTATACCCTAAGATTCTGTTTCAAGTTCTGTTGTGGCCTCATGGGTTTTAAATGACTAGAATACAAATAACCACACACCAGAGACTTAGAGTGAGGACTGCCATCATTTCATTTCATAAAGAACAATCATAAGTAGCATTCAGTCTCTTAAAAATGAAAATTAAGACAATAGATTGTTGTTAAAATGGTTGTTGTAATTAAAAATGAAAAGAACTATTTCTGCTGCAAATTTTGCCTCTGAGTCTATGAACTACTAAAAAATAGCTGCAGATGAGAACTGAGTTCATTATGCTATGCTGTACTAATACAGTCATCTGGGTCAGCTAATCTTATTGTTGCTATCACTGGAGGCGGTGTAAATGCATCTAAATATTATAACCTGGTTTAAAGTTTTAAAAAGTAATATTGTGAGTTTGCTACAGTTCAAAGGTCAGCAAGCAGATTATTTTATCTAGGAAAATGTCACTTGATGGCTTTGATTGAAATTCTTCACTCTTCACTTCCTGTCATTAAAGGTAGATGTCAAAATGCCACCTTGAGAGCATAAAAATGGACACAATCACCTGTCACTGAACTATTATTTGCTAAGTGCCTCATACCATGTAGCAAGTTAAAATTCAAATGAGGTGGGCCAGTGAGTCACATGGTGCACTTTTGAGAAACTGGGATGTAGGACAGAGAGTGGGGACTCAGGTGAAACATGAGCTGCCACCCAGAAGGGAAGATCTAGGAGGTGAGTCATGCTGTGTGGGCTTGGACAGCTAGCAAGTAGTTTGGGTTCTGAGCCTCTTGTGGCCCTGAGTAGGATTCAGAGAAGTGGACACCAGAAGATGAGTGGAGAAAAGGCAATTAGCATATATACTTCTTTTTTCTCGATTTTTGTTTTAGGTAGGCCCATTTTGGAAACAAGGTAAATACCATCATTGTTCACCCAAGTTTTTCTTACTAATTAGAGTAGACAGCATGGATATTACCTCTGTTCTCCCAACTGGACAACCTCATACAAATACTCAACTTGCACTGTGACTGAGACAGATGTGTGGCTGTAACAGAATCTGGTCATGGAACAATGGTGTTGGAAAACGGCTCTGAGAGCCCCCTGTCCAGCTCACTTCTCATTCAGATGAGTAACTGGAGGACTTTGAAATGAAGTGTTCTTCTGAGGAGAAACGATTACTTATTTTTACCAAGTTCTTACCAATAGGATTGTTATAGTTTGTGTTAGATGTACCCACAAAGCCTCATACAGTCATGGGAGGGCAGATTTTTCATAGGTGGCTAAATCCAGAGTTTGTGAACAGTTCATGGTCCAGTGTTGGGATTAGGGGTGTGAGTGCTGCACCCATCCTAGGGCAGGCAGCCTGCATACAAAGTAAGGGACAGGAAAAGTCTTGTCACTCTCTACTGCCATTGCTGCTTTTACTGTCTTCTTCCACTGTGAACTGTTGTCCCTCTGCCCCCATGTGCCACCCTGCGTTGGAGCCAGCTGATTATGGACTGAAGCCTCTATAAACTGTGAGCTAAATAAACCTTTCCTTCTTTAACTTTAGGTGATGAGTATGTTTCAGCAATGAGAGAAAAGTAAGTCAAACTCTTGAGTTTAGGATATACATGGCTGTGCATGCTGGGGCAGGGGAAGAAAAGGTAGGCAAACACCTAAGGTCATCTCCTTTCAACCTACCACCACTCAGAAGTGAAGCAGGCCACTTTCCTCCCAGTTAAAAGTCAAGAGAGAATTATTGGGAGAGGAAAGTGACACCGTGTGGGTGGAGTTGTAACTGCTTTCATTTGGGATTTTTTTTTTTTTTTTTTTTTTTTGCTTTGAGGGTGAGCTGAGGCTCACTATGTCTTTTTGCACAGTAGCAGTCACTTAGTGTGTTAACTCAAAAGAGGGTTTACATGTGCTGGGATTAGTGCTTTAAATGAGAATTTATTTTCTAATATTTGGAATTCAGCAACCTGGGAAATGATAGCACACTAATGGAAACGGGAAAACAACATCCTCATGGTTCTTCTATGTGGCTGTGCACAGACCCGCCTCAGCCCCTGTTCCGTGGCTGGCAAGTGTGAAATTGCATGCATCAGCTTCACCCCAGGAGGTATTCAAGAATACCTGTGATAAACTGGTACTTAATTCTGTTATTTTATAAATAAAATAATGCAAATTAGACTTACAAAGAAATTGCTGCTATATGAGTTTGTGGATTTAGCTACTGCTATTTATATATTCAACATGGAACACTAGCATAACCATAACACCTCAAATTTACATAGCATAGGCACCCCCCACCCCAGTTCCTAAACTATGAGCTTCTTTTTTCTTATACAACCACCTTGGGAAGCTGCTGATTTAGAGAGAAAGAAAATAAAGCAAATGTCAACAACTGTGCTAAATCTTTTTCTGATTTTCTTGTTAATTATCTCTCTCCTGTTTCTTAACAGCTGGACACATCTAGTCATATTTTCAACAGTAGTTTAAAATCATTTCTTAGAAGATTGATTACTGTAGTGATATTGGAATATAAACAGTGAAAATCAATTTTCCTTGAATTTGGAAATTACTCTGTATAATACAGAAGCCCTCAAAGGTTTCATTTCTGTTCCGGTTTGAATAGGTAACATCTATCATTTATTTATTTCAATCTGAATATAACTGAAAAAGCAATCTTTCTTAGTAGTATTACTAGAATATATTAAACCTAATCAAATACAATGATATATTTATATTTCACATTTTATTTTGCAAAAAGCAACATGATGTAGAAATGAATAATTCAAAAATCCCTAAATAAAAAATCTTTTTTTGTGTCACATATTTCACCAGAGTGTTAGATCTTTCACAAAATAACTCTGAAAATGTGCAGACCAAACCTTTCCTATTTGAGACAAAATCCAACAGCAGTTTGCTTTTTTGTAGACTGTAGCATTTTTCTGACAAACAAGCATGTCAACACCTTTCATATGGAATCAGTTTTCTATTTTTGTTTTTAAATTCTAGAAACAGACTTAAGAATACAAGAATTCAGAGATGAAAAATTTCTTCAGGACAGGGACCTGATATCTCTTGCTTACAGAAGTTGGAAACAATCCTTCATATAAAATAAAAGAAATTTTACTTTCCTCTTAAAAGCCAACCACAGCTGAACGCTTCAGCCAAGGTTGGTTATGTGTATCAAGGATTGACTTTCTGTTTTCATAGTTATAATCCATCTTCACAATATCACCAAAATGTGTTAGCTGCTTAAAAAATAAATCACAAAGAAGCAGTTGATACCTCTGGGGTGCACAGCACAGATCAGATCAGAATGACTAGAGGCCCTACTTGATGAAGAATCACCTACTTGGCAATTTGGTTGTCAGCCTCTTGATCGCATGACTTTTAAGGGCCCTGACTGAGGGTTTCCTTGGCAAGTTGCTATCCTGCCTCTCCCCACTCTCAGATCACTTCTTCAAGGGCTTTATGGGCATAAGGAATACATCAGCCAGTTAAACCATTAGGACAAATAACACCATCTGAATATTCAAACCAGAGATAAATGCTCAAAAAGAATAGGTACACAAGGATCAAAGGCATAGGAAATCAGACATTTAGGTTTGGTGGTAAGATGGCTGGCCGCAGTGCCTGGATGCCCAGTTGAAACCGTATGGTGAAGAGGGAGAAGCCTTTTGTGCACATGACTGAACCTTTGCTCCCTCATACACTCCCTTTAGCCACTTGTAATTACTAACAGGCATTTCCCTAACAATTAAAAAAAAATCTAATGAATCCATTCAAAACAACCACAGTGATGCATTGCCTCTCCTCCCATTATGTCCATCATTTTTGCCTCGTTTATGATGCTAGTAATTTGATTTCTGCACATTTTCATCTTTCCACAAACAAATGTGTTTGGCCTCCAGCCCACTTCCAGCTCATTTGGATTTTAATAAGAAATGATAGCTCGAAAGGGCAAGGGAAAGCGCCCAGCATTCTTAGATGCCCTTTGCCCATTTTCTGTCACGCTAAACAAGTGGCAGCTAGAAGTGTCCCTTCTGAGTCAGACACCGTACCTGGGGGAACAGCATGGATGTGACAGCACAGGAGCTCAGAGAGCTGGAGCTCGGGGTGACAAAGGAAAAGGAAACCACAGAACCCCAACAGGCAGCGAGAAGATCTGGACAGCAGAGGGGGAAAGAAAAAAATACACAGAACGGAATCAGCAGGACGGGAAAGTGCAATGAAAATGTGAAATCAGTAAGAACTAAAACTGTTACAAAGATAGAAGCCACAGCATGAAGGCAGAGAAACAGCACAGAAAGGAAGGAAAGCATGATGGTATCAGAGAATCGAAGGAAGTCAGTCTGAAGAAAGCCATAGGGCCCAAAAGGGTGCGGCGAGGAAACAGCCAAATCTAGAATTGAAGATGATGGTAATTACAACTTGGACCGGCACCGAGGAACGAGGATAACAGGGAGGAAGGGGACAAGCAAGCCAGAGGTAGCAGTGGAAAAAGAATGAGATCGTGGCCACCGTTGTAAGAGGAAAATCAAAAGTGTCCAAAGCAACAGTTTCCCAGAGCTGGGGAGGTCCAGCCCTCGGCCCAGCCCCGGGACAGCGAGGTCGCCCCTGGCAGAGGGACACGGCGGGCATGAGCTGGGCCCCCACACCCTCCACAGCACCATCCGCGCGGAGAGCCCGGGGCTCTTGGAAATCTAACTTTGGCGATGCCATCAAGAGCTCCTAACCGCCCGCGCCGAGCCAGGTCTGGGACAGACTTTCACAAGTGCAGCGACGGGCTTTGCGCTTGCTTTTGTCTCGGTGGCTGTCTGGGGTTAGTTAGGGCACAAGGCGGGGTGCTCATCCGGATCTGGGGAGTCACAGGGGCTGGGCGGCTCCGAGGCGGACCCCTCCTCCGGCCAGGCTGGAAGCGCCCCGACTCCTTCCCCCGGTACTTACGTCCAGGAAGATGGACATGCCCTTGGACAGCTGCAGCGCGGAGCTGAGCTCTTCCGAGGAGTTGTTGGAGGACGGCGACGTCTCCCGGGACGCCTCCATCCTCGGAGCCCCGCAAGCAGGATGCACCGCGAGGACCCGGCGCGGCCGCGGGCTGGGGCTCCGGGCGGGCGCGCAGGCTCCCGCGCCTCGGTGTCCGCGCGCCGGCGCTCGCTCCCGCTCCGGCTCCCTCTCCGCCCCCTTCCGCGGCGGACGCGCCCGATCCGCTGGTCCCCGCGCTTAGCAGCGAGCAGGCGCCCCTCGCGGAGGACATGTTCTGCGCCCGGGCAGCACCACCAGCCGGAGCTGACCCCGGGCACCCTGTCCATTTACAACCGTCTTCCCTGTCTGCGGAGGCCGGAGGCCGTCCCAATAGAGAGGGGCTCCAGCGTAGGAGAGGGAAGTAGACGGCCCCCAGGCACCCCCCACGAAGGAAAGCCTGCACACCCAGAGATCCCAAGAAGTTCGGTTTTGCTTTTGACCCAAGCTGGGCTCTCTGCCTTACCCTCCAAAAGCAAGTGGATTCCTAAGTATCACCAAGGCAGAAGCGCCCAAACCTATCTTAGACTGCTATCTTGCCATTTAGTAAGTTGCTAAATATTTAAGCCTCAGGTTAAATACTCCTAATCAGTAAAATGGTCACAATGGTGGTCTTTACTGTAAAGAGTTAGATGTGATAATGCCATTAGGGGTAGATTACAAAAAGGTAAAGAGATGCTGGTTCTATCCCCTGCCCTGCCCTTGCATAACCCTGAGAGGGACCACCCTCTTAGGTTTGCACCCTAGGTGTCTCCTTTACCTCACCGCCCTCCAGCCCTGCTCTGTGGTTTATTGCTTGCAAAAACACATTCAAGGCTCTCAACTCTGGCTGGACACTGGAATTCTCTGGTGTGTATGTGTGTGTGTGCAACTTTAAAATGTGGCCACAAGTTCCTATGAAGAAGTGCCCCCACTCCAAGTCTTAAAGATGGTACCTGCCAAGGTAGGGTGCCTGAGAGACCTTACAATTCCATCTTTCTCAGTGGAATACTTACTTCTGGAATCCTAAGCATCCTTCTTAGGAAGTCTGACTCTTGTGTTACCTCACTTGGAGGAAGCCCAAGCTGAATACAGGGACAGACATAAGCACCTAGCTGACAGCTAGGTCTAGCTGCACAGAGACTTTGTTCACCCCAGTCTAGTGAAATGTCCTACAGAAGCCTCCAGGTGATTCCAGCCTCACAGGCCTTTGAGACATCTGTAGCCAGTCATGTTGTCTCAACCAAGACCTGGAACATCCCAGACATTGGGGTGGATCCCAAGACCATTTTAACAAGCTGTGCTGTTAAAATTTTTGCCCCACAGAATTTGGGAGCATAATCAAATGTTCCATGTTTGGCAAAACTAAATCTCAGAGTTTGATTTGTAAAAATAGTAACCAAAACAGAGCTTTTAAAACCCACAAAATTAAAATAAAAACATAATGACAAATTGATTCAACTGGCATGCCTGAGGATAGTTTTTGTTTTTAAAGCTTCCTAGCTTGATCATGATGTGCAGGATTAAGAATCACTAAATGTGATTATATTAGAGATATAGTAGAGGAGAAAAGTTGAACAGGATTTCAGAAGATGGGCAGAGGTTATAGAACAAACATCTGTGAAGTACAGTGATAGAATTCTGAACTTAAGTAGTAGAGTTAGAGACACTACTAAAATTAATCAGCAGAGCTATTGACTGGAGCTATATTTTAGGCAATATTAATCTGGCAACTTTGTGTGCTTTTAACTTATTAACTTCAAGTTTCCTTATTTGAACAGCTACAATAGACTCTTACCTTTCATGGTTGCACATCAAAAGGAAATTAAAAGTCATTATCAAGAAAAGAGTGGCTAAGCCATCAAATGAATACTGGTCATTCAAATTGCTGGGAGAAGGAATGCTGATCATGCACATTTAAGTAACTCAGATTACAAAAATAACATTATTTGTTCCTGCTATCATCTGGAGAATTAAATAGATTTTTTGGCAACGAGTGCAGTTTAAGTCTGACCCTTCAAAGCTGTGTGATTTTCTCGGCTCTTGAATACAGTACTGTGAATCCTAATATATTTATACTAATCCCATGGTAACAAGAACAAGTGATGAAAACTTTGATTATAAATGAAGAAGAGGGGAATAATCATAGTTATCATTCAAAACAAGAGGGCTATTTGTACCACTTCAGTAAAAACATTTCTTTTCTCTTTACTGACAATGCAGAGCATTTTCTATACCTGGGGCTTCGCTTACTTCCTTTAGTGGTCTATCTGGGAGAAATGTAAATTATTAAACAATCAGTTAGTCATTATTTATTTTTTATGGTTTCTTCATGAATTCCATGATGCACTGACTTCCCTTTATAAAGGAAATATAATGTTCATGGAAGGCTTCACTAGAAATAGATGACAATTGAATTCCCATTCACAGCCAAATTGAAAACGCTCTACAAAGTGGTAACCAAATATATTTCTGGTTTTCTTTTTATCTAGACAGCATGCATTTTTGAAAACTGTTTTCACACATCATTTTCCCTGAAACACAGATGCTATATTGCAGTGCATAGTATCAGTTGCAAACAGGAGAGAGCAGAATTTAGAGAAGAAATATATTTTCTTACCAACTTCACTGTAGCAAAGCCCTTTAAAAAATGTAATTCTAGATTGCAGCTCTCAGGCCTCCTATGATAAGACTTTGACAGGAAAGCATTTCAGGGGATGATGGCCGTATTGGGATGTATTGTATTTCAATCCATCTCTGGCTCATGGAGGAACTATTATATAAACCATTTCAGACATCCAGGAGTCTATTTTATTTGGACTTCAAATTCTAGGGAGGGCTATGCTTTCAAGCAGTGACTCAGAACTCTTTCAGCCAGGTTAGTAGACATTTCTGTTACTTTGACAACTGAGGATCCAAACCTTCTTTCTCCCCGAGGCCCTGTCCCCAAGGTGTGTCACGACTAATGGCAGGACCCACATCTTTGAGTAAGAATATGACCCTGGTCCCAATTCCCCAGCAGCTAGAGTAGAGACCAACATTTAGTCTCAGCCAGCATAACACTTCACTTAAGACTTTGAATCTGCATCAAAGGACAAGAAGGAAAGATTATTAATGGTAACAGACATACAATGAACTATACAAAGGTCACAATGCCAGTGGAGCTCTGCAGACAACTTGTCTGATTTGATAAAGGAACTCTGATTTTACTAGCCCTGTCCTCTAAGCAATTCCTTCTATAGATTCCTGAGTAAACTTCCAAAATGTTATTTTCTGTTTCACTTTACTTGGTTGGTTGCTGACTCCTGAAGTCTTAGTAAAAAGTTCAGTCTAAATTTTTCCTGCTGAAGTGGACTATGTGTGGAGTCATGGAAAAAAACTTTTTTTAAATTAATTCTCTCCAAACATTTGTTGAGCATCTGCTTCATTTCAGACAACTGCCAGACATCACTAGGGAAATGATGAAAACTCTGATCTTTCCCTTGGCAGAACATACATAACTTAAAAAGCTAAAAGATAATTTTAATGTAGCAAGACAAGAGTAGCACCAGAAGTTGTTAGAAGTGCTACAGGAAGATACAGAGGGGGCTTCTGTCCCAGTAGTGCCGGTTCTGCGTGACCATTTACGCTATAACAGAAAACCTTGCACCCACCCCCATCCCCAGTCAGTATACTTCAGTTTCCCAGGTGATAGTTCCTGTTCCAGTATTGGCCTTTGCTTCTGTCTCTTAGAAGCAGCTCGTAGCTCGTCGCTGTGATGCACATTGTAAGAACCAATTCCCAATTGACAAACCACTCTGCCTCTGTACTTCCTGCTTGCTTATCCCATGTAAGCCCTAGACCACCAGAGATCAGGGCATTTCGAGAATGATCCCAATTGAGTACTGGTCAACATAAATAAATCTGTCTCCAAATCCTGGGTGTTTCTGTTTGTCATTGCAATGTAACTGCACATGACAAAATTAGGACTGAGGAGTGGGAAATCCCATGGACCGAAGTTATTAGTTCACTAATAGCAGCTATGAGTTGTTTTAGCCCGAGGATAAAAGTTTTCAGTTATGCCACTGTGTGAATAAAAATAAAATTCACGGCTATTGGTTTACTTAGAGATTGTCCATCTTGAAATAGCAAGGAATCTTAAGCACCCAGTATCCTCCATAACAATTTCTGTTGCTACACCTGCTTCTTTCTCGTGAGCAAACTTTCTCATCTGTAGAATCATGGATGGAGTATTTAGTGCAAAGGTATTGACAAAAATTAGGCATAAAGAAAATGCTCCTCGAAGTTAGCCATTGTCAGTCCCATTAGCACCATTTTTTGCAGCCATGTTATGTAGACCAAAGGGCCCTCATGGGGGTGTAGTACAGTGTCATCACACAGCAGTCAGGGAGCAGCCAGAACCCACTGTTACCCTGGCATTGCTCCCTATGACCTTGGGTACTGCCAACTGCTCCCTGTTTCTTGAAACTCTTATCTTGGCTTTTAAAAATATCCTATTTCAGCTTTCTTTTAGTCTTTCAGAATCTTTTCATGCTTCTAGCCTTCTAAATGCTACATTGGCTAAACTGTGTCCCTCATTCACCTTTTCCTCTCTTTGGCTCCCATTTTGGTTCTCTCTCTTTCCCATATACTAATATTATGTTAGTCCCACAATTTCCACATGAGAACTGCGTAGCTTCCTATTCAGCCGGACAGGTACACATCTTCTTATGGACATTCCTTAGACATTTCAAACTGAGCATGTCTAAAATTAAATTCATCATTTTCTCCTAATTATTCTATGTTTCATATTTTGTTGGACAATGACACCTGTTACCAATTCAACTGAAAGGAAAGCCCCAGGATCATCATACGCTCCTCCCTCCCCTCCCTCTCCTTCCTTTACTCCTCACCCCTCTCCGGTTGCCAGTGTTATCTTTGGCACCTATCTTCTCTCCATCTCTACTACCACCACATGAGATCCAAACTTGCCATCCCTTACCAGCAGCAGTTCCCCTCTGACCTTCTCATCAATGCTTCACACTTTCCACAGAGTAGAGCTTTAAAAATGCACATCGAAGCATAGCACACTCCCACTGTAAACCCCTCCGATGCTCACTGGAATCTGCAAAATAAAATTACTTTCGTTGCATTGTCTTGCCCCCCCCCCCCCAGCCTCAACATTGTGGTCACAAAGAATCACC